GGTCACACATTCTCAATAATAAATAATTATACTATACCCTTATACAGTATACACCATTACATATTTAGTTATTTACAGCCTCTTCAATAAAATAAAAATTAAAAAATAATAAGAATATTCAAAGTCTAATTACTTAAAAGAACCAAGGGCATTTTAGTAAAAATAAACCTTATCTTCCTCAAATGGAGTAAATTCCACTCTTCAACCTTCTTTCCTTCACATGCACACCCTTTTAAGTGAAACATATACTACAAAGTACAAACACACAATTTCACTCCTCAAAACCTCAAATACTTCTCTCACTTTCTCTCCATGTTTCTTCTTCACTAGCTTTATAATCTTTCCATCCCAAAAACCCACCAAAAAAAAACTTTAAATTTTTATCTTCCAATTCCAAATCCCAAAAAAAGTTCCTTACAAAAACAGGGGACTCTGTTTCAGATTCAGGGTACCCCTGTTTTTATGTCAATTTAATTGCTATTTATATGCAAGAATTAATTTTTTTTGGGATTATTCATAATTCATATGAATGGCAGAAGTAAAAACAGGAGTAAATAATAATGGTGATATTAGTAGGGAAGAAATACAAGCCGCCATTGCTAAAGCTGTAGAACTGAGAGCATTACATGCTGCTTTAATGCAGGGGAATAGTCCTTCTCATCTCAGATATCGTTCTTCTACTTCTCCTCATCATCTTCATCATCCTTCTCATTCTCGTCCTTCTTCTCAGTTTTCTGGTCATGATTACCCTGTTTTTACTCCTGTAAGTCTTCTTTTACTCCTCGGAAATTTACGCGTTTTGTTATCTTATTAATAGTCGTGTTGATAGTGTAATTTGAACTAGTTATGCGACAACTATTACTTGAGAGTGATGGTGAAGGTGAAGTAATTTTTTTTTGAGGGGTGAATTGATTGTTTGGTATAGCATCATTATCTTATTAAATTTTAGAATATACTCTTTACTTTTCTTGTTTAGATGAAAATTATTTGTGGTTCTTGTTTTGAGAGGGACTTCCTTGAATTTGTTTCTAGCAATAATTGTTTACCATGTCTTGGCAATTTTGTTATTTATTTAATTATTTTATTTTTATTACATTATATTTATATAAATGAATTTTTTAAAAAATAAAAAATCTATGTGCTACTACTACAAGTGATCTAGTATAATCAATTTGACTTTTTCCAATAATGGGGTTGCCTACTAATATGACTATGACAATTCTATTGATTATTTGTTGGCAATTGATTGCTTACATTCCCTTTCTTTTTCTAGCATTACGCTTTAAAAAAAATAAATAATAATAAATAAAAAATAATAATTTAAGGGGTTGGTGATTTTCATTATTTATGTCAACATTCTTTCCACAAGTACCAAATCCTAAATGAAATAAAATCAAACTTGTACATTTGAATTACTTAACATGAATTTTTATTTTTATTTTCAACTTCGATTTTAACCAATATTTGACTTTTTCATAATTAAAGCACTCGTGAATGCACTTCAACCAAATTTGTTTGACTAAAAGTAAGTATACATAGATTATTGATCAAAGCAAATCAATAATCCCAATAGTAATTACTACTCAATTGGTCGGTAAAAAGATTTTTCACTCCCCTAACCATAAAAAGACTTCACATATTGATTTACGTAATAATACGTGAATAGGTGCCCGTGGTACAAACTATTCTTCTTACGGAGTATGATGTACATCATGTAACACGTTAAATTTCACTTTTACGGCCATAAATTTATCATAAAATATATTACTCCTTACATTTTTACATTTGTCTTAGATAGTTTTACTTGGCTATAGGACTAGAAGAGTGAAAATTCTGGTGGACAGTTAGACAAGGTTAATGTGGCATATTAATTTAGAGTTAAGAGAGTTAAATTTATAAACCTTTCTATTAGTATTATAGTCATAGAAATTAGTGATGCTTAGAGTAAAATCCAAGTTATGCTTCACTTCCTTTTAATTCAAGGAAAAGATTATTTGATGCTGAATTATATACATTATACCATGTTGATTAGAATAAACATTAAGATGCTTATAATATTTATGATATCTTGACAGAGTTATGAAGATGAAAATTTACCAGGGTATGGTCATGTGCAAATAGCAAGCCAAACAATTATCGAAAATTGGGATGAAATTAGAGATAATCAAAACGCGCTCCCTCCTGGATTAGTAAACTTGGACAACAACAACAACAACCACATTTGCCCTGCAGATGATTGTAAATCGGTGGCTAGCTCGTGCACGAATAACCTTAACTTCCTGCAGAACTCACCAGGGACTGAAGTCCTGAAGTCGAGGAGAAGAAACAGTTTAGGAGACCTGAAATCAGTATCTTCCTGCAACAACTGTAAGCCTGCAACTATTAGCAGCATTGATTATAATGATAACAAGAGTAGCAAGTACTCTAACATGGTGGTGCCACTAACAGATTCTCATGCTACTATGACTGCTGCTCCACATAAGAAGTCGCGAGGTATGATCCTGTCTTGGCTGTTCAAGAGGAAGCAAAAGAACGAAAACAGTTCACCAGTACGGACAGATGATCAGTCTGAAGAAGTCTCCCAAGTTCTTAAGGATTTCGGAAGTGGTGCATCAATTGAAACTTTGAAAAAGGAGCTGATTGATGCAAACCAGAAGAAGGAAGCGGCTTTAATGGAAGTGTCAGAGATGAGATCTTCATTTGGAGAATTGAGAAAGAAGCTCGAGAACTTGGAGTCTTACTGTGAGGAGCTGAAGAAGGCTCTTAGACAGGCAGTGTCGAAAAGAGAGAAAACGAGTGATGGGAGGAGTAATGAGGACAGTGAGATGCCTGTGAGCGAGGAAGTTATGGTGGAAGGATTTTTACAGATTGTTTCAGAAGCAAGATTATCAGTAAAACAGTTCTGCAAGACTCTGATTGAGCAAATAGACGAGACTGATGAACAACTTACTGAGAATTTGAACGTGATCCTAAAACCATATAAACTATCAGTAAATTCAAGGTACTCAAAGGCGGTTTTCTATCATCTAGAGGCGATTATAAATCAAGCATTCTATCAGGATTTTGAGAACTGTGTGTTTCAGAAAAATGGCATGCCGAAACTGCTGGATCCTCAGCAGCAACGGCAAGCACAGTTTCAATCGTTTGCTTCTTTAAGAAACCTGAGTTGGAACGAGGTCTTAAAGAAAGGAACCAAGTATTACAGTGAAGAATTTAGTAAGTTCTGTGACCAGAAAATGAGCTGCATAATTATGACCCTGAATTGGACTAGACCTTGGTCTGAAACATTGCTGCAGTCATTTTTCGTAGCAGCAAAATGTATATGGTTGCTTCATTTGCTCGCGTTCTCCTTCTCTCCACCTTTAACTATCTTAAGGGTGGAAGAAAATAGATCGTTCGATCCTCACTATATGGAAGATATCGTAACTGATAAACAGAAGGGACACGGTCCAAGTCGAGTTAAGATAATGGTGATGCCAGGGTTTTATGTCCAAGATAAGATTCTTAGATGTAAGGTTCTTTGCAGGTATAAATCTGTAGTATAATGTTAGCATTTTTTTTTTTTGTTAATTTGGTTGTTCTAAATATTTTGGTTGAGTAATTTGATTGAGTAGACTAGAGGGTTTGATTGTAATGCAAGTAACAAGTAGCATACAGTGTTTAATTTGGTTAAATATTCTTCTGTAATTTTGTCAGATTATCTGACTTGTGATTTTAAAAGGCTTTCAGTAGTTGTAAAGTAAATGAAGATTGATTCTTTCTTGCATTCTAAGTTGTCCGTACTTTGGTTACACATCATAAAAATGATAAATTTCTCTTTTTTCATTTTCACTGTTATTTTGAAAACGAACTCAATCCATTATCCAAAATTAGAACGAATCACTAAATCAATACTCTCACCACCCCACAAAAATCGACATATATTTGCTGAAACTTCTCTAGCTTGTTACTTCGTAAGCGTATGTAACATGAATCATCGATTCTCTCTTTTCTGCCTTTACATTAGATTTGGGTGATTATGTTAAGTATATATAACTACTAAGGTATAAACACCAAATATGATAACAAGGAAGTTGTACAAACTTTAGTCTATTCAATATAGCACTCAAAGGTATGTATGTATGTAATCATGTTGACAACCTATCCTTATATCATGGCTTTTAATTTGCATTATTATTAACCTCTTTACTTTTTCATTCGTGGGTGTAGCACTATATAATTTGAATTGTTCATATTTTAGACATTATAGTGCTACTTTTATAATTACTCTTTTTCCTCTATAATAGAGATTTTGATGTTAACAGTTCAAATTGATTTTAATTTAAAGAATTACTGTTTTCAGCCCAGTCTACAGTTATATGGACTGGGCTAATGATGTCCTTAAGTAGTTAAGTGATTCAATATTCTGGGCCCAACAGGACAATCTTGATCCAATGAAATTAAGTGGTATGGTCTCTTGATAACTGGGCCTCCATTTCGATATCTCAAAGCAACTAATGACCCAAAATATATTTGAATATTCGATATCGCGTTTTATATACTACCTCCGTTATAGGTTATGTGCAACGATTTGACATAAAGCAGAGAGGAGAAATGTCTAATCGTTCCACATAACTTGTAACGGATGTATTATATCTCCACAACTCCCAATACTTTACCAGCTAAAATTAATGGAAATCGCAATGACAATATGATGAGGTACAGAACTACAGACTCAATATTTGAATTCCACGAAAAAAAAAAAAATTGATTTTCATGCTTCAGCTTTCTAACATATACAAGTATACTTAATACTTTTGTATGGCTTATTTTTGCTAGCCAATTATTCATTTACTTGAAACTAGAATAATAGTTTAGCACATTGACGTGGCTTAATAATTTACGAATTATAAATTAATGTTTGTTTTATCTAGATTTTCTCAAAATCGAGATAAAAAAAATTACTGATTGATAAGTTAATAACAAATCTAAGAAATATGAAATATAATACAAGTATATAATTCAAAGATTTCAAAGTTCAAACCCTCTTTATTCATGCAAGTTATACTTATATTACATATAGTAACTTATAGGCTTATTTCAATTCTACTAAGTACGTAGCAGCCCACACTTTGACATATGTATTATTCTCATAATAATACAATTTATTTCACAGTAATTATAATTAGATTATTAGAGGGTAATTAAGTCGCGATTTTTCTCCTTTTTATCGATTATAGGGCATGAGCAGTATCTTAACAAGGTCCATAGTAACAGAAGCAAGCCCATTTGCCATTGTACCACTCTTTCTTTCCATAGTAGGCATCCCAGACGTTCTTGCACTTGTAGGAGCAGTTATCTGTCCACCAAGCTTTGTATAACCATCCACAGGTTTTTGCTTCCGCCATTTGAATTTCTAGAAAATACGACAACAAATAATATTTATAAGTTGAATAACGGTTGCACTAGATATCTTGAACAACAAACACTAACAGGCTTATAATTTGGTTTTATTGTCGTGTTATAGGTTATGCCATATGTGTAACTTGTATAGCGGTTGTACCAGACCATGGCATATTATGTTATTTCCCGTGTGTATATATATATCATATCATATTTGTATTATGCTATTATACATTACTAGGATACACTTCATTTCTTGATCATTCAAAAGCAAGGTTATAAACATTATGACATGCATTAATAACAAAATAAACTAAATTAATTAAGATAATAAAGCTAATGCTAGAATACTAACAGTGATTAATGGGGTGGATTAACTCACCAGTGTTCACTACAAGCATGAAAATGAGAGAAAGTGCAAGGAGGCTAACGAAGTAAGTAGACTTAGCCATTTCTTCAGCCTTTGCTAGTTAGTTAAGCTAGATATCGCGAAAAATACACTTTACTTTGATTTGTGTTTTTTCGATTTTGTGAGTTGTGATTTTTCGTTGTAAATGAGATGGGTATTTATAGGATCATATTTACTATTTTTTCTTGATAAAAAAAGATCAATAATCTTACAAAGAGTTACAATAGAAGAAGTCAAATTACAGAAACATTCAACAATTAATTAAAGAGATAAACAAAGTTAATATTTTCTCTTTTTGATGAGTAATGCTATGTTGTCATGATCTCGGACTTTTGTTGGTTTTGAATTTTTCTCAAGGAAAACAATGATGCTAGATCTCAACTAATACATAACTACGTACATATATTTGACTTTTTTTTTTGCTGAAAACAATTTCAACCTACGTATAATATGCAAATGGGTTAGATCGTAAGGTTTGAAAGATAAAGTTAAGAAAAGTAGAGCCTTGACAAAATATTACACGAAGGCTCTAAGGCGCCGAATAAGTAGTTTAAGTCAAGAGCGCAAGATGTTTGAATATCTAATAGGTTAAGTAGTTCACGTGTCTTAATTACCATCCGTGGTATTGGTTATGAGATGGAACCTCATCAATGCGAGTACATATTTGAATAAAGGTTTGATATTAGTAATTTAGTATATGTTGTATAGGGGCTATGCGTTAGATCTTTAGAAAGGGGTATCCACACAATTCAAGTTATTACAAACATCCAAAAAATATGTATGTACCTTAGGGACGGTGTTAATGAGTGTAGCTAGTTGGTAAACTATAGCTTGGGTTAATATTTTTTCAAAACTATTTTATTCTACTTTGTATGTACCTTAATACGTACGGTTGCTTGTTGTATGGATATATTGGGTCATATTTACCGATTTTACTTGATCTAATTACTTGAATTGTATAACATGTGCTAGTGAATTCGTGATGTTTGTGCATACTAGTACAATCTACCTTGATCATTCTCGTTTTCAATCCCATTTAACATACATCATCAAGTAGAACATTTCAAGCAAAGATTGGTTGATGTGTCTACTTAGCGAGTTGCAACCAATCAAGTCTCTAGTGTAGGTTAATTTTATTCGAGTTGCAACCAATCAAGTCTTCTAGTGTAGATTAATTTTATTTACTACTTGTTTAAATGAATAATATTTATGCATGACTAGTTCTTCTGAGTTAATAAGTTCATATTGCAATTCAAAACTCACAAATACATGTCACTAAAACAACTAGTGAAGGTGAAAATTGGCCAAGTCTATATACTTCGTTAGCATTCTCACTATCTCCTTCATTTTCATCTACCCGTCCATAATAAAATAGTACTCATACAGTCCTACTTTTGATGGTAGTGTTATTTATATACTACGTATATATTTGAGGGAATGGTAGTGTTATTTTAATGTTGTATGATATTGTATTACTCTTCAACAATCAATTTCCGTCATTTCATTGAATAGACAAACCAAAATGTCCAACAATTAGATTTAGAAAATCCTTTTTTTGAAAGGAATTCTTAAGACAAGTTGTGTGTACAAGCTTGGCGTGATGCCCGCCATGTTGATAAGCCAGGGCCAACCCTAGGCATGACATGATTGAGTATTGTCATGCATAGTCATCTGTTATTTACGTTTACGAGTGTAAAATTATTTCTTATTATCTTAGAAAAAGTCAAATATCAAAATAATAAGACGAATATTTCCTAACCACTCTTAATTTTATGGTTCAACTTCCGTTGATATGTAGTTGAAGACAAGGGGCCATACTCGTTTAATATCCTGATGCATTATGTAATGACCCTAACGAGTACATTAAAGGTACAAATTATTGTCATACAAAATTAGGGTCATCTAATAATTGAATAAATTGTGACAAAACGACCAAGATAATTATTGTGTCGCATAAAAAATGAGGCTGAATTTTCACTATCCTAAACCATAAACAGTAACACAGATATTTCCTGATATTATCAAACCTTCATTCAATCGACCATTCTTCTTCCACATCTTTCTTAGACAAATACTTTAAGGGGCCATATAAATTGATGGTTCAAAATTTCTACTGGTAGTTTAGTAATCATTTTCTTGATGCATTATTATTATTATGTAAAGACTAACAAGTACATTTGAAGGTACATACATCATATACTACAAAACCAGGGCACACTGTCCTGATTACACAAAGTTTCGAAACGATACGTCCAAGAAAAAATTATTGTCTAGGATGAAATGAGGCTGAATTTCATCTTCCCAGTGTATGCAGAAGATATTTGTTGATATTATTGAACCTATATCCGCCCAAGGCTCTTCCACGTCTTCGTCCCTCAGATCATTCTTGTGGCAGTCTCAGCTTTCATCGCTTCTAGGGTCCCATGTAGATGTTACATGAGCATATTTGTGGGAATGGTGATATGATCACTATAATGCAAGCAAATTATCAATGATTGACTTGAAATAACGACCACTCGAACAAAAAAACGGATTCAGATGCTTAATCTGTGCGGATGGCCAGAGGCTGAAAATGACTCATCATATGCCATTCTCTCATGCACCCCTAACCTTTACAAAACCGCCTTCGTTTGAACGTATTGGTTAAGACATTGACGTCAAATGGAAGGTTTCTGTCATGAAATAGGTACAGTTTCTGAGACTAGACTCAAAATTTTACTGTAAATCTCTAATATCTTCTTATGAAAATAAGATATAATTTTACTAAACACAGAACATAAGAGCAGGACTGACTAATGAAGTTTATTTGACAAAATATCTAGGAGATGCTTGAAAGCATTCAATTACATTTCACAATGCACGAGTTCAGAGGTTCGGACTGACCAAACGCTTCAATCATTCATCATTTGAATGTCTATATACATCAAAATGGCATCGTAGCAAATGCGAGTGTCTATGTTATCACCCTAATTCTATCAATTTTTTGAAATAAAATTTCCGCGATCTAAGCAAATAGGATACTGCCAACTCAGGGTGAACCTTCAGGGTTGCTCCACCAAAAACTAACTGATAAGCTGGGTGTGAGAGATCGCACGTAGTGCCACCACTTAGGAGGAATGTATAGCATATCACCTTCATCTAAAATGCAGTCCATGAACTCCAAGTCCCTCACTTTCGGAAATGCATTGTCATCTATGTCATCTAAATCAATCTACAAACAAAATTTTTACCACCTCATCAGAGTGATCTCAGATGAAAGAATGTAGATGATAAGATACAAGTCTGAACAGGTATTAACAGCATTCAAACACCAGAAATTAGTGTGAAGTTGTAATGTTCTATATGCAATATACATTTCCATTTATCATACAGGAAACAAAATAGAACCTATTGAGAAAGGAACAAAGGCCTACCTGGCTGGAATTGCGTAGCATGGTTTCAGAATGCGGATAAAGTTCCTCGGACAGAGAGGCTGCATAGAGTCTTACATACTTCTTGCCAACAACCTGGTAGAGGAGAAGTCACAAGCCTTCAGAAGATAAGATCACGATAGAATTGATTGAGATAACAACTGACCATTGAACCAAATGGAATCTAAAGTTGACATAGGATGCAAAATAAAAAAATTAAAAAACAATCAGAATCATAATTTTGTCATGGTTTTATCATACCTGAGCAAGTAAATTATGGTGTGGATCATGGTGCAACGGAGTTACAGTTCCAGCAGGACCAAACCAAGCATTAATTGACCTCAGCTCGCCGCCACCAGCATAACAATAGTCCGGAACAAGAATGTCCTTCCTAAGCTCTTTTATCTGTCACTAGAACCAACAAGTAATTGCATGAACATAATGTATCAATAGCTAAACACACAAAAATCTTGCATGTTAGCTTACATGCCTGCTCAAACAAAGGATGCTGCGCTAGGTATGTAGGAGCTGCACAAGTGCTGCCAGATTGAATTCGTTCCAGAAATTGGGAAAACGTGATAAGCTCTTGCTTCCACTCGGAACATAGGTAGTTCTTTCCAACCTGAAAAAATTTAACTAAAAGCATTTATGTAGATAGCTTTTCCAAAGAACCCTAGAGTGGAGGATAGGAGATTCAGGTAAATTACAAATCAGCAGTGGTTGAAAAACAGGACATGGCGACAAATTTGTTGCAATGATATCATGTTCAGTGCAACAATCCTTTAGGTGCAGAAACCCACTATGGAAAGTGCTGATGCCTACAATATGTATACTACAATCACATACTTCCATGACTGGTAAGTTGGTAACTGATTGCTGATAGTGGAATGAAAAATGGGAAAGTTTAGAATATAGAGGCAAAATTAAAAACAACAGATCCATTGTCCAAGTTACTATATAATGATTTAGTGCTATGAAGGTGTAATGTAATTACCATGTAAAACAAGAAAAACATTACTCAACATTATTTTTGCCAAAAGTGATTTCAGTTCAGCAAAAATAAAAACGTCAGAGAAAAAAAAAAGCCTTTTTCAAGGTTCACAAATTTCAAACAAGCTTCTCCACTACCCCCCAACATTCCCAAGAATCAGAATCAAATACCCTTTTCAATGTTCCCAATTTTCATACAAGCGTATGCAAACTGTATGTAACCTCCTTTACATCTTTTCTTGTTTCACTTAGACATAACAAGTATCAGAGCACAACAAAGTGAACATAGTTCATCAAATCCTTTGCTAGCATAGCTGAATAGATTCAAAGGTCAAAGTCCTAATTATAAGAATAGTCCAACAAAATTGACGATGAAGCCAGAGGTATTGCCTAAAACAGGACGGGGCTAGGGGGAATGGTGATTATGTCTGCAAATTTACAGCATCATTTAGCCAAAGTCACAGCAAACAACGATTAAATGCCTGCTTTTGATTAACACACCATCTTAAAGCAAAAAAGTATATTTAAAATAAGAAACAGTCAAAAGAAATAATATTATCAAGAGGTATACTTGCCCATAAGTAGAGTTGAGAGGAAATAGTCATCAGCTAATCACCTCAACAGGTACTGTTCGGCCACCGGCCACTCTTTTCAAATATTCCATGTTGTTCCACCTAGCTCTAGCGGGCCAATGGGACATCGAGTCACTGATTATAACAGGCAAACCCATTAGAAAATAGTCACGAAGGAACCCTTCCAATGACAACCCAGAGCGTCTTGCAACAAGCTTCGAAGACAGTGAATTTGCAGGCAATGACCTGAGAACCTACCAGTCCAATTATAATCAACAATCAAGTTCAGTCATTTTTTAAGCAACACTCCACTAATTAACAAATTATAACAAGATCTAAAGTTACAAACATTTAATAACTTAGCAATACAAAGAAAATGCATCATAACTCCCACAATCTTGTTGAGTTTGATAATTTTCATAACCAAACAATACAACATCATCATGGAAACCTTAAACACACTTATGGACTGACCAAGATTTCATCTTTTAGTGATCATCTTATCATAAATAACCCACCAAATAAAAAATCCAACAAATGGCATCATAACTCTCACAGACTAGTTGAGTTTGACAATTTTCATGACCAATCAATACAAAAACATTATCAAAGACAAAATCCCAATGACAATTCATCTCTAGTTATCATCTGATCATAATAACCCACCAAATATAATATCCCAGAAAATGCATCATAACTTACACAGACTTGTTGAATTTGACAATTTTCATGACAAATCAATACAACAACATCATCAAATCCAAAATCCCAATGATGATTTCATCTCCAGTGATCATACAACAACAACATCAAATCACACATAAATTGATTTAACTACACAAATCAGCCCAATATATTATAAACAAAATTTCCCAAATTAATCCCAAAACCCTTTAAAAAAGCTGAAAAACATATCAATACAGCTCACTAAAACACATTGCTAATAGCAATTCAATTTTACAAAATCCCAACTCAAATTTCCCAAACAACATGAAATCAACCATCAAAACTGAATCAAAATTAGATCATCATCCAAAAAATACTAAATTAAAAAAAGAAAACGAACCTTACCTCAGCTTCATTAAAATCAGCAGAAGAAAACAACAACCCACCACCATTATCACTCCCTTCACCATTGTTACTCCCATTCTCTCTCTCCTCCAAAACCGCCATAACTTTATCAACAGCATTTTCCAAGTCAACCCTCAAAAGGGTCCCACCCATAATCAACCCCAAATCCAAAACCCTAATCGTCTCCGAGAAGTCACCTCCGGCGAAATGGTGTTTCGCCACGTGTAAGCACGCCATTGAATAAGCATCCCTCCAAATGGGCAACACAGAGTGCCATGGTCCACAGTGAAGCTGCTCCCACGCCATCTCACGCGCCACCTCCGCTGCACGTGCGTCTCCGTCACGTGCCGCCGCCGCCATGCGTGCGAAGGTGTAACCGCCGCCTTCCTCGGACACGCGCTGGAGGATTCCGGGGGTTTCGATATCGAGTGTCGGTGTTTCGACGATTCCGCCATTTGTGGGACCCATTATTTGCCGGAAAAGTAAGTATATGACGAAGAAGAAGAGTTGGATGAGAAAGACGGAAAAGTGCAGGAATTTTTGTATTTGTTGTCTTGTTGATGGTCTAAAAGAGTAAGCTAAAATGAAGTATTTATAGTTCTATTAATAGAAGTTTGAAAAAGTGATGGTGAAAATATCTAGGGCTCTTGATATTTTGGGAAATATCTTCTACTTTGTGGGTCATACGTCTCATTCATATACTATTAATTTTAGCTAATCTCTTTACTAATTACCCCCGCTTGCATTTCGAAGCTAGATGATTGGATATTAATCTTGTATGAGCGGAAGAATGAACCGACGATGTGAGTTCAGTCTTAAACTGATGAACAAATTTGGATCTCAACTACACTCGAAACCAGATAATTGGATGTTAATCTCACCTAACATGAGTTGAGTACAAATTTGACATTGGATTTTAGTGATAGAGGTTTCCTACTATCTTGTAGAATCATGAATTAGTTGATTTTTTTTTGTAAAATAAAACTTAAAATCTGGTTAATCAAACTAAGATCCATAACAAGGATTCCGTAACACATTATTATGGATTTATGGTGTATAGTGAAATGAAAATAGTACTCGTATACACTAGTATACCTTATTATTAATAGAAAAATTAAAAAGTGTACATAGGTTTGACTCTACTTAATTATTAAGTAATAAGTGGGAAATATCTCTAAAAACAAGTATTAGTGGTGAGTGAAGAGTAAACGTTAGCATGTTTGATTCACTTTTTCTAGATGCTTCGGGAGAGAAGGGAGGTGGGGGTGTTAGTTAAGATATTAGCATCATAAGAGCACCATTATTGGTGAACAAAAAAAAATGGTTCATGGGTCACTATCACCATTTCTCTCTCATCCACATCAACCCAACAAACCATTTACAATATTCACTCTTAACAATAAACACTAAACAATGGTTCATCATCAATACTCCCTACCCCACCTTATTTTATTTTTGTAAATATAATCTTTTTGTTTCATAATTATAATTTATTAACCGATGTCAATGTAATTAATTGACGTATTTAATATTTTAATCGTGATTACTAATTAAGAAATTATCGCGTTTTTTTATCAGCTTTTTAAAAAATTAATTCTTGTGATTAATATTTTTTAAACAACAACGCAGCTAATTTTAATTAACATAAAAAAAAGGAGGTACAAATCGTGATTACAGTTCTACAACTATAATCTAGTACATTTTATTTAAAAAAAAAAAACACAACTACACATCGTTTTGTAAGATGTCCTTAGGGATAACCATTTGTTGTAAACCTAGTTGCCTAAGTTTTCGTTGTTACCAAATTTATTCCATATATGTTCGACCAAGTCGTTTTTTAGCTGCAAATGAGTCTGTTGATCCTCAATCTCTGTTCTACGAGACAAGTATAAGCCGATATCCACAATACGATCAGTACGGTACTCGGTAGTGTCCTCATTAGCGTTCCCTCCAGCATTCATAAACTCATTGGTATTAACGTTATTTTGATACGTCTCTCGTTCATCTTCAACGATCATATTATGTATTATGATGCAGGCGAGCATGATATTGTGGAGTATGTCGGTATCCCAAATATTGGGATTCGGTTGTTGTGACGGAAAATAACCAGATGCAGCACCATATTCACCGTAACCCATTGGTATCATGGATGGATGTGGGAAATTTGAACTGCTTTGAGAAAAATTAAAATTTTGAGGGAAATTTGGTGGATTATATGGGAAACTTGACTGGGGTATTTGAGGATAAACTCCAGAAAAATTATGGGGAATATTTGTGGATGTTTGTGAAAAATTTGGGTGAATTGGAGGAAAATTAGCTTGATTCGGGATCATATTTTGACCCAAATTTTTTTTTTGCTTTCTATTTGTTTTGGGGTTGGTATTAGCATCCATAATTATAATTTATATTTGGAAAAAATAAAAATTTAATAATAATAATAATAATAACAATAATAATAATAGAAATAATAATAATAACGATAATAATAACGATAATAATAACGATAATAATAATAATAATAATAATAATAATAATAATAATAATAACAACGATGATAATAATAATAATAATAACAACGATGATAATAATAATAATAATAACAACGATAATAATAATAATAATAATAACGATAATAATAAAAATAATAATAATAATAACGATAATAATAAAAACAATAATAATAATAATAATATTAATGATAATAATTAAAAATAATAATAACAATAATAATATTAATATTGGTATAAATAATAATAATAATATTGGTAATTATAGAGGGGATTTTTGAAGAGAAAAATATAGTAGAAAAAAATGAATTTTGGAAGTTGAAAAAAATATATCAATATGGGTGTCTATTTATAGAGGGGGAAAAAATAGAGTCGTTGGTAATTTTTTTTTTTTTTTTTGATTTGTATTTTGTAAAATATATCCGTTGCAAAATTACAACGGATATATTTAAAATATTGGTGGGGCCCACAGCGAATTAATTCATGGAAATGCTTGCTCCTGCAATCGAACCCATGACCACTCAACATGAACCATTAAAGGTTTGCCATTAAGCCACCACTTTATTTGTTTATTCATTGTGAACAATTAAATAGTTTACCCTTAAAGATGCCCTAAGAACCAAAGACCTTGTTCTATTGGATGGTGACTAATTAATTATTTTTTTGAAAACGACCAGTGCACACTTCCATGCTAAAGAGTAGTAGCATAACACGTGGCATTGCATTGCTTAGATATTTTCTGTATACTTATTACTCCATTACCACCAATTTTTTGTGCTCACTTATGGTTTTCTATGTTTGATAAATGACTTTCTTATTGGTTTTTTATATGTCGACATTTTCGCCAAAAATAAAAGTAATCACTACAGTAGCATTTTAATGTTGAATATATGAGAGAATGAGGGGTAACTTGGTTGGTTAAATCTTTCCTTTAGATTATAAGAAATTTTAAAATTGACTTTTCTTACTTGTTTTTATGGCTCTCTAAATAGTATTTAAAAAAATGCTTGTTTGACATCGATTTTTGTTTTTAGCTGTTCGATTACTACAAAATTCTACCACACTTCGAAATAATTTCCCAACAAATATCTATTTAAGTTACAGTGTATAGATCAAAGTGTTCGTTACAATTCCAAATTCCACTCCAACAAAAAATAGTCTAGAACAAATAACTGCATGCATATGAACATAAGCAGCAGTAAATTGTTGCAAACACGAGTTGAAGCTTCATTAAATCTCTGGCATATCCCATGATCCAGTATCCAGCCCAATGGTGTATCTTAAATTGGGCTTATTACCATCTCAAAGAATAATACTACCCATTTATGATGACCCAAAAACAAAGTAAATTAAACGGGCCTTTCTGTAGTGTGTAATGATGAGTATGCAAATGGAAATTTCCACAGGACAGGTGGCACGACCTGAGTTGTGCAGGTGTCGGTGTTTAAGGAGAGAAGCATCATTTGATTGACATTGATCTTACATGCTTATACTCCATATAAGAATGTGATGTAAATGAAATTAACATTTTAAAACTTAAACAATTAGCTCGATAACAGCTACTAATCCATAACTAAAACAATACGTATCGAATAAGACTTTTGTTGAAGACTTCACCATATTGGTCACATACTGGCTTTCAATGGTACTCGCATCGTTATACAGGATATCTTTACTCTTTAGATAGGTTTATTGATAAAGTATTGACTTCTTAACCACAATGTTGAACACACTGTTTTCTTTTCCTCCTTAAACCGCGTTGTTAGCCTGTTACAATACCTACTCATAATAAGAAGATTAAAATCAACCAAACCAAATATCTACAATCCATAGGATCCAAATATATCAATAACACAATGTCAAATTCCGGCTTTCTGCATCATCTATAGCTCAACTAGATCCTGCATTTGCTTGGAGAAGATAACATCTCGTGTTTCCTGTTCAAATATATGACTAAACACACATATCTTAATACACATTCAAGAAAACATCATTCCAATATATGAATGACTAGTAAAATCATTTACACATCTCGTGTTGCCCGATCAAATACATCACTTCAGTTATCTAGTAAATCAAGTCATGCTGGGAGGCATTCGTGAGTGATCCATAGAGGAAGATTCGTACTTATGGACCTAAACAAGTTGAACCCTTGAACCGAACCTCTAAAAAGCAACTTTCTAAGCTGGGAGGCATTCATGAATGATTTGGTAACTTAAAACTTGCTAAAGAGGCATATTAGCATATATGTCTAGAAATACAGACCTTACAAGTAAAAGCATAAACGTTTATTTCTAAAAGCGTCCACCAAAAGCATAGACGTTTATTTCTAAAAGCCTCATTTGAAAGGGATTCACAAAAGGAAATGTAAATATAGCAGCCAACTAGCCATGGAATATTGGAACACTTAGAGTGAAGTTCCTCCTCCAAGAACTGTTCATTGATCCTTCCACAATAGCTTGGACACTAATCATATCTCCTATTTCTTCGACTAGCCGCCTGCCCTGTTCATCCAATAGGTATTTTAACCGAGGAGAAACTCCAAAAAAGGCAGATAGATTACAGGCAAAAGCACAGTAGAATACCATATACCTCAATGAAACCAGGCTCAAATCTGTAATATTCTGCAACAGCCCAGATTGGTTTACTAGAAATTTCAGGGGATACCTGCACAAACAGATGTATAAAAATATGTAAGAGCCAAAATCTAACAGACATTAATCCAAGAATGCAACCTAACGGCCACCTCATCAGCCTCATTGATTCCAGATTTATTAGATAAATGTCAATAAAAGAGTAACTAGCATGATGAACCCATCTAGTAAGCCATTGAAATTTTGACAGGATGTTTTAAACTGCTGTTATCACTACAGTAATCTATATACTACATAGTCTTTAGCATACATAATCCGAAAGAACAATGCAGATTAAGATAATCGGTTAAGAGGTAGAGATGATAAATGACGAAAAATGGATGTCTTCTTCTGCTTCCTTGATCCCATAAGTAGGGTCGGCTATATGAACCAACATGAGGACTTCCCAGGAAGTCGCCCATCCTAGTATTAGTCTCAATCATTGTGGCTTATGTCAAGCAATGTGAAAGTTTTACACTGGATATCACTGGCCTACCGTAACCCTCCTCCTTTATCCAGGCTTTGGACTGTCAGTGGGTTCCCACTGGCAGAGGCCACCCAGCCCCATCGGTCCATAGAGACTAGAAATCAGAAAATCATACACAATCCACTCAACTTTAAGAATTAGGATTAGGATGTAATAATCAAGAGCAAACTAAGTCCTAATCAAGTAAACAACTAACTTAATAAGCAGATCAAACCATTATTGTGGCCTTAACAAGTTTGAAAGCTACAATCATTATCAACAGAAACTACTTTTGAATTTTTGAGCACCCCGGTCCAGTGGAAGATAGAGGGAGTAAACAAGATTGGGAAAAAAAAGATAGAGCAAGTACATCCACACCCAAAAGAGAAATATAAAGTATTACACCAATCACCATATTCAGCAAGACACACATTCACTAGTCTACCACAAAACTAACTATTCATATGTGAAACTAAAGCAGAGTAGTTCAAAAGCAGACCTTCCATGCTTCTGAAGCAAATATCTACGGACTGATTGAGTAAGATGAGCCGTAAGAATCAATAGTGTTCCTTAAGCTTTCTGTTCAATAATCTACTACTTGCTCAATGGTTGAATTGAAATGTTGAATATCACTCACTTCCAGCAGCTGCTTTTTTGTTGAACCAAGGTCCATTTCTGCGCTTATTGGACTGAAACCTTCTCATCACCAACAATTCCACGATTACAAGCATTGATGGCCATTGTTGAAGAAAAAGAGAGGGGGGGGGGGGTTATCTTGGATCACATGCTTGCCTTCCTTGAGCAGTCTCAGAGTCATATCTACCTAAGCAATGAACGTCAAGATGCAAATAAATTGTCCATAGCTTCTTGAGATGAGTAGAAATTATGGATCTCATATTATAGATTCAATTAATACACCAGAATTTGGGTACACAATCATAAGGATAACCATCCCAACAGCAGCAGAAGACTAACCAATGTCTTTCCTTAGTCCTTAATCTAAAGAATTTAAAACAAGTTGGCAAAAAAATTATATTGTTTGTATCTATTACACTCTTAAGCATATAAACAAACTCCGCCACCCAACTCCCCCCAACAGAAAAAAAATTCCCCTCGCGCAAGAAATAGTGAAAGCTGTGTGAAGCTAATAAACTAACTGATACAAAATACGTAGTACTATGCAATCAAACCTAATTAAAACAAAAAATTTCAGTGTTGTCATGTTGTTTACTACATTAATGGCATAGCCTAAACACAACCAGAATACACAAACTTATTTCTTAGCATATATAGTATGACTGAAGTTAGAAAGTATATGATCTCTTTACATGCTGAATTAATTTCATCAAGGCATTATAACAACATAAAAGTTCACAAATAAAAATAAATAAATAAACAAAAAAAGGAGAGAGAAAGAGACCTGAATTGGCCAGCAAGAACAACAGCAACTCCAACAACTGAGGATTCCTTACTACAAAGACCAGCATCTCCCCCACTTACATTTGGAAATACTAGCTCTTTGTGTTTATCAATATTTCATAAGTAAAAGAGTAATGCTTACCTGAGAACGACTCCAAATATAATTGACAGAAACAAGATCAGAAATTTCAGATAATCTGGGGATATTGATTCTTTACAAATGTTCCTGCTCCAATTATGGCAATATGTTTTGCCATAGGTATTAAAGGTTCTGAAACAATATAATGCCTCATTCATTGTATAAAGATTAAATTTCTATTGGAAAAAAACAGCGAAATAAATCATGAAGCAGATTCTTGGTGATATTCTAGTCTAGCCTATCCTTTACTAATCACAATGTTGAACATAACGTTTTATTTTCCACCTTAAACAGAACTGTTACAATCATTATCAAACCTGAAGAATTTCAATGCCTAGCAATGAGAAGATTAAGATCAACCAACCAAATATACAAAATTTATTTAATCCAAACATATCAATATCATAATGTCAAATCCCGAACTTTCTATGTCAACTAAAGAACAGATCATTGTACTGTTGTTTGGATAAATGAATTAAACTAATCTAGTAACTTGAAACTTTAAGGACTATTCAAGCTGACAACTATACAGGCCACAAGCTCAAACTTCATCATTAATTCAGCTTGCCTGGAGCGTTGCCTGAAAAAGAAAATTAAGCTAAATTAAATTGTTGTCACAGCATGAAAGTCTGAAGATATCAGCAAGAAAATCACAATCACGACTCACAGTTTTAGCTGCAAAAAAACCACTCCGCCATTCTAAGCTCCACAGTATTGCAAGATGTCAAGGTCATCACCAGCTAAGTAATCCTCGTCTAAACCAAAGCCCTCAATTTCAGGGAAAGTAGTATCAAATTGATCAAAATCTATAGAAAGACCATTAAAGGGAGATCCAAGATGACTATCAAAGGGTCGATTCTTTTCCTGGAATGCATCAACACCATAATGGTGCAAGTGGCCTCCAGTGATATCATTCTCGGTTGTATTAAGGGATGGAAGATGCATTCCAACAGCTTCTTGCCTAGTTTGGGGTTCACTAATGGTATGCTGCAAACGCTGCTCATCAAGTCTTTGCCCATATTGAATTGATGGATAATAAGGATCACCGTGTTGCAACTCAGCACCTTGTACCGTTGGATGGTGGAACGATTGGCCTCCAACAAACATGTTATGTCCAGACATCAAATGGGGAGGACGGACATTAGAAAAGTGACTAAACTGACTATAATCAGAGGCTGGAGGATGAAATTGCCCCATTATATCACTGTCCATAGAAACCAAGGGTTCGATAAATATCGAGCCATTCTCCGGCTGGTTATCATGCATCTGGAAATCATTATGGTCCAAGTCAGACACAAGACCAGGTCTTGCAGGTTCACCCACCAAATTCTCTTTTGTAGATGGTGCAGCTTGCTGATCGCTAGGTGCCAATTGCGGAACACTAGCTGCCAACTGCTGATCATCCATAGAAGGGGTGGTTTGCTGATCAATTGAGCTCGCTTTTCCACGTGATCTTTTTCTCTTATTTTGTTTCTCAATAGGGTTCTTACTCCGGGAAGAAGAACGATTATTGATCACAGGTTCACCCATTGTTTCTGCATCACTTAGTTGATTTTTCCTTTCATCTTTAGAAGAAACAGAACCTGCACCTTCATCAATGCCATCAACGTCATAATCACTATCACTACTAGCAGCAGGTTTTCTCTTTTCACCACGCGGGCCTGGTGGACTTCCAGTAATACCTGACGTTCCATTATCACTGCTAGGCTGCCTGATAAGGGATTCCTCCCGACCTAAAACCCCTAGCCAAATTGAACTCTCCTTAGCAGTCATCTTGTCTTGTAAGCATTTAGATTGCCGCACAAGCCTTCTTATCTTTGCAATATCAGGAGACATGTGCTTGATCACAGCAGTTAAAACCCCAACTTTCCACATCTTCTTCAGATCATGTGGTTTCTTATACGGAGGGCTCTGACCCTTCGGCAAACTCAGCTTAGACCACCATTCTTCATCTCCTGAAGGCCACCATGGTGGAGGCACACCTTTCTCTAGAGGAAATTTCCTCTGAGGAGGATTACAATGCTGCATCAACGACGACAACAGCGATCCTAAAGTAGCGTCTTGCAATTCCTGCAAAGTGTTTTGACCATTTCCATTACTAGCTCCTTCACTCATTGCCAAACAGTCAGCTTCATACTTGTTTATTGCAGCAGGACCATTCTTATCAAATTTGACCTTCTCCTTCCACCAAGCCCTTAAATTATCAGACGCGCCACTAACCGGCTTTCCCTTCTCCGGAATTATTCCATACACAAATCCTCGCGCTTTGCAGACCTCCATCAACTTCAACATATACTTCAAAATCCCATCTTGTGCTCTTGACATTTTCTTCCTCCTAGCTTGATCACTCGTCTGCTTAGGCTTTTGCTTCTCAGCAGCCTGCTGGGCCTCTACTTTCTCCCTCTCCTTCATTCGCTTGAGCTTGATTCGATCCTTCCACATTCGCCTTTCGAGTTCTTCCGGATCAATTTCTTCATCACTAACATCCTTTTCCGCAATGTTCCCGCACCTTAAGTCATCAACCTCTATATCCGACCTACAATCATTCCAAATAAACAAGCAAATCAAATAAACCCAAATCAAATTTTCACCTTTTAAGAAAATCCCAACAAATTCAATAATTCTTCTTGTTTTTAAATATTCCACATTTACCCTAAATAATGCATACTTTTAAGTGCTAACCCTAAACAAAATCAGAAATTCAGTACACTTAGCACTTACATATAATTCAATTAAATTGTTTTGTTTATACACAAATTCAATCATTGATCAAAATCTAAGCTTCAACCAACGATAATTCAGCAAATAAATCACACCAATTCCAATAAAAAATCAATCTTTATAATACTCAAGCCCTAATTATATATCCAACAAAAACCCCCAATTGAAAAAAAAAAAAATTAACAAGATAATAATAAAATTAGAGCACTTACCCATAATCATGACCAATCTCCTCGAGCTCTCCCATAATAACCCAGATTGAAATTCTTGATACTCAATATAAAAATTGATAAATTACTACCACAAAATATGCCTAAAAAACATTCCACTGAAAATTGGCATCAATCTCTGATTATTTGAGGTGGGGTTGTTGCGCCGACGAAGGGACGACGGCCGGAGTATAAAGTTACGCAATTTTTAGGTAGGGATTGTAAAAGGGAATCAGGGATTAAAGTTTAAAAAGTTTTTTTTTTTAATTGTAAAAACAAAAAAAAACCATATAAAAATTAAAAGAAAAAAAAATGTAGAAATGTAAAGAGAAAATTGAGTGGTTTTTGGGAAGACACAAAAAGACAAGAAAAGGAATAGAGTCAGCTTTGGTGGATTCAGAATTTCAGATCATCTGTATTGCAATGCATCATACTTTGCCTACACCCTCCTTTGAACCTAGACATGTTTTTTTGGTGAAATCTTTGATTACAATTATGAAAATTATAATCTTATAAAAATGGAAGGATATAATAATTTTGATATATTTCCCTTATTTTATTTTTTGGGTTTTTTTAAGGTTTTTTTTAACGGTGGTGCATCTACAAACCAATTATATCAAAATACTACTTCAAAGTTCAAAGCAATGCATTATTTGTTTTCCTAAATTGTACTTTCATAATATTTCTTAAAAGGAAAGAGATAGACATTCATGTGGAAATAATCAATATTTGAGTTGATACTAAAGTTAACATTTGTGTTTAAAAATATAAATACCTAAAATAATAATTAGTAATTGACATTTTAATAAGGTACTTTGTATTGAACTTAGAGTATGAATTGAGATCAATGTTCTATCTCATGAGATAGTCTAAGCCTATCCACATATGTAAGCACATAATGATCAATATTAGAATTGATACTAAAGTTAACACTTGTGTTTAAAAATATAAATATTCAAATAGTAAGTGACATTTTGATAAGGTACTTTGTATTTAAATTAGAGTATGGATTGAGAGCAAATGTTCAATCTCTTGAGATAGCCTAAGCGGCTAAGCCTATCCATCATACATAAGCACTTAATTAATGATGAAAGTGATGATATATAGATATTATCCTCAAATTCCCGTCAAACTCTATATACTACGACAATTTACGCTTGGTTATTAGGTTTTATTCTGCTCTTAAGTCTTGAAGTAAAGCCATAGAAGTATAAAGTCTAAAATAGTAACGAAGTAATAATTTTTTTCTACAATTATATAGAATAATACGTACTTAACTTTACAAGTTAGACACTTTGAAAGTTGAGAAAAAAAGGGTTAGTAACAACCAAATTAATATTATGTGTGTAAAGAAAGACTAAAAAACCTATTGTACACTCAATTAAATAACTTACACTTTTCGATTTCTTTTTAACTACGTTTTTCTTTCTAAATATACATGTTACGTATATATTGTAAGTTAACACAGATACACTCTAGTCTTCGTAACCTTTTGGAGGGTCATAGGGGGGGGATTAGAGAAATGGAAGAAGATTGGAAGGAAGGTGTGAGAAAAGGAGGATGTGAGAGACTACAAAACGCTCTTTTCGAC